GGTGTGCCTCCTGAACCAATCTTGGTCTACATCCTACCTACCTCTTCTCTGGTTGGTGTGCCTCCTGAACCAATCTTGGTCCAAATCCTACCTCTTCCCTGGTTGGTGCGCCTCCTGAACCAACCTTCAGCCACCCAGTCCAGCAGGCGTGTGCTCAATCCAGCTGGCCCTCCCTCCGGTCTTCCACAGGTCAACAGTCACAGCATTCTGCATTCAAAAAACACAGCCGTTTCCACCGGGCTGGGTGTCACGATGTCTCCGTTTGTTCGTCCTCGTTTGTGCGTCGACAACTCCACAGGTCACCCGTCGCCACGTTCCTCGTGGCTCGGTCCTCTCAACACAAATGGTTCTGAAGCTTTCACCCCACCAGCAGTGCCTTCAGCGACTCTTCCTGGAACCCAAACCTGTTTCATCTGTTGTCAGGCGCAATGAAGCCTCTCTCCAGTATCCTCTCCGCTCTCCAGTCCAGCTGGGGAGGCCACCATAGGGCCGTGAGCAACAGCTGAAAGGTGTCGCCCACTGCATTGCGGATCGTGACGGCCTCCGTTGGACCCCGTCTGGGACGCTGCGAGGGTCCAAACAGCTGACTAAAACGTGGTCAACACAGAGCATAGGTCAACAGCAAATCGTTCGGCGCATGCGGTCGCCCCCAAGGGCCAGTGAATCAATAGTAGGATGTAGAAGGCACCAATTTTGGAGGTATGGGAGATTATGGGAGAGACCAAACTGGTTGCATGGATGGTTCCAGTTCATGTGAGAAATCAAACCAACCCTATATAATACAGTGGCTCTTCGCCCAACCTTAGTGAACAAGGAAAATGAGGAATTCTTCGCAGGGTGATGCTCCGTCTTGACTTACCGGACTTAGCTTGTCGAGCTTGGGCGTCCGGACCATGGCATCCGCACTGAGGTGTGTCTGCCAAAACTCCTGCAGAAATGACATGGAGTTGGGTGGTTTGGTTCAACCCATCCAGCGAGTGTATGGCTCAAGACACTTTCTTGGGGCATCGGGGAAACAAGGCAATTTGAGGGACCCAAGTCATACTGACTCACGAAGCTGCGAGCTGCAGCTCGGGTATCTCCAGCACGAGCGATACCTGTGCATCAGACCTGAGCTGTGAATCTGAGCAGCTAAAGGGCAACCCGTGTATTTGAACGGTGCAGTTGACCAATTGGTTGAAGCATACATGGCTGTGAGATGCTGTGAGTCTAAACTCTAAACCAGGAGACCAAACGCCAGGTTTGCGACCGACCTTGTGACCCATCCCCACTCTTCGCGTCTTTCACTCTCCCATTCAACAAATCATCCAAGTAATGGATGGGCTAAATAGGCCAAAGATCAGGGATGGCCGTGCCCACCTGTCCCTCGTCCAAAAGACCCTCAGGATCGGGTCCTCCAGATCCTCTGTGGCACCTCGCGCTCCAAATGGGTCGACGAAAACGGCAGGGGAAGGAGGGAATGGAGGCAAACGCTGCGGCGCCTCACAAACACAAGTCAATACTGGTCTTCTACTTGGACTGCAGGTCTTCTACTGGTGGCAGGGTGGATGGGTCTCCCAGAAAGACCACGAAACTGCCCCAAAAACTCGTTGCACGCACTGACAACGTGCTCCTGCAGGGCGTCCAAGCGCTTCTGGCTGTAGAATAGGGCAGGGTTCCCCAACCGACAATTCTAGAGTTGAAGAAGATCTTTTGCAGCTCGCAGCAACGCTGGAAGCAAGGTTAGTGCTTCGAAAAGGAACCAGAGAAAAAGCCTTTTCCAATTCGGAATCTTTCTGCCCAGCGACACAGCGACGAAGTCAATGTCCAACATTGTTCACCATTCAACACAGCCCGGACTTCCGATCCAGATTCACCTCCAACAAACATGCAAATTTAATCAAATTAAAAACAATGTTCAATCGCCGCAGTCCTGTGACCACACATGTTTGCTGGGCAGTACAAAAGAGTTGGCAGTCTGTTGGATTTGGCGTCCAACCGCTACAGCCGAGGAAAATGCAAGATTTCGGCGCATGCGGTCAGGAGCACCTGAGCAGTGGCCCTGAACCCCCGAACTGGCAGGGGGTTCTGAGTGCTTCAGAATGAAGGTGTCCTGCAGACTTTAGTTTTAGAGTGATCCCGGCTGTGACCCAAACAAAAATATAGAAGGGCTGTAGTAAATGCTCCGGAGCATAGTGCTTATTGCCTCTATGACAAATTCAAAGGTTGGAATCAAAAAGCTGGACTCATGTGTCAACATAGACTCACCCTGTTCACCGACTCAACACCCGACCAAGACAGGCTTGGAGGAGAAGCTGAACTCCCTGGCCAGCCTGAAGGTTCAGGGCCACAGCTTTGCAAAACACGTTCCTTCCCTGGATGAATTCGCCATTAACATGCCAGTTTTGAACACCGAACAAGGTCTGTCGAGGTGGGCTGAAGTCAACAAGAAAATCAATATAATATATATACCTTGAGTCTCCAAAGACCTTTTTTTTATGCGTTTTTGTTTTTGGTCTAATATTTTTGCGTTTTTGCTCGAAAAACGCGTTTTTAGAGATGAGGACTCAAAAAAAGGTGCAGAGTGAATCTTCATCCGGACGCGTCCGGCACGGACGCATAAAGACGCCTTTTGGACGCAAAAAGACGCGTTTTGGACGCCGAAAAAAGGTCTCAGGACACTATCTAAGGAGGATCTGACAGGGCACAAACAAAAAAGGAACATTTCGTGACATATGCAAAAAAGAGTGCTTTCTTTCAAAAACCTCTTTTTCTTGGAAAGGCAAATTTAAAAGGGTCATTGGAGACTCAAGGTATATATATATATATTTTTTAAATAAGCTGGACTGGAGGGTGAATGCAACATGTTGGTCCGTGTTTATTTTTGCATGAACGGTGACGACCAAGATAACAGAAACGATACGGCTGTAACCTCCAATTTAATGCTGTTGATTCTTCTAGTATCTTGCTCCTATTTTTCTGTGTTGTTTTTTTTTCTTCTGGCCTTTAACCTACAGCATTAATATGAAGGGAGCACAATATTTTCTGGTGTGCCCGGTCTCTTATTATTGGCCATCTAATTACATAAAGAATATGATTAATATTGCCAATAATATACACAACAAAATCGAGTATCATCCTGTTGAACCCCATATAACTACCCGAGCTAGCCTAGCTACACTAGCCTAGCTTCTCCAAGCCCTTCGTCCAGGCCTAAGAAATGTCACCAAAAATGCAGCCAGCCGCGGGGGGGTCTGTGCCAACCCCCCGTTCCATGGCGGGTCTGACGATGCCCAAGGAAAGACGAGTCACGCGCGCACAATTCGCAGTGGAGCTGCGGATTATATATAGAATTCAACGATTATTACCCCCGGCCGTTGATGCCTTGCAAGGTATCCGTTGAAAGGTCTTGATTATAAAGCCTTAGCTCCCATGTTCTTTCTCTCCCAGAGGTGTGTATGACTCATGTATGGTCATGCAAACATTGAAAGAACGATTCCTACAACAGCCAGGCAGGCCAGTTTAAACCACCAAGGCCCAAACTCAGTTTGGATGCCCCAAAATTTTCACCTCAGGACAAATTGATGTCCCGAATCGGGTCCAGCTTCGGAAGAAACCCCTGTTGCTCCGCGCAGAAGAGGGGTGGCAGCTCAGCCATCGGCAAAACCTACGCAACATCGGCAGAAAACAGAACACGTCTTCTCACGCATCGGCGCATGGTCTTGAGCCGCTTGACCAGCGGTGTCTTCCTTAGACATCGGTGTCTTCCGCCTAGCCGTTCACCTCACAGCAGTGGCGAGAAGGTGCTGCGCTCGGCAAAAGGCCGTGGTGGCGCAGGAGCTCGAGCCGTTCGTCGGGTTCTTCCTTCAAGGTCCAATCAGCAGCCAGCATGCCATAGGACCTCTGACCGAGCGAAACCGGACGGACGAACAGCTGAGCGACGGACTCCGTCCCAGCGACGAGGTCAGGGTGGTTGGGTCTTTTTGAGGTGGAGGACATCCTGGCAATGCGGATTCAGTTGATTGAAGGACATGTGTCAGCCACATACAAGACCCTGGGACCCTTAGTCTTCCTAAGGTTTCCAACCCACATGTCGTGGACATGTCGGGGTGGTCTGCGGAAACGTGGACCCAAAAATAAGGAGATCTATAAACATGAAAAAGAACAGATCAGAGTCATCAGAGATCCTTAAGCTGCGTCACACCGTTCAGGTTGCACCCCAAACAACGAACCACACCGCTGAACCATGCGATGTCGTGGACCCTTTCGTCCCCAGGGGCTCGTCTCCACCGCAGCCCGGCTTGGGGCCGACGTTCAAAGGCCAATAGGCAAAATCCACCTGGCGTGCCGCCAACGTGGGATTTTAGAAGGGGAACATCTCCCAGGTTCCATCTGGAAAACCCATAAACCCAGGGGAACATCACCCATAAACCCAAAACCGGACGAACCAAACCCATATGATCACCCAGCGCCCCGGAGCCGACCGAGAGACGGGTGTCCCGCGCCGTGAGACCCACGTGGGTGGTTCGCTTCGCCCAGCTCTGTTTGAGGGGGAACGAACCCATCGTTGGTATACAGGAATCAGGCAAACAGTTCATACGTACGGGTATACCGAATTGGGTTAGTACGGATGTTAGAACTAACCCAATCATAGAACCGTGACGTACGTACTCTTTACGAAATTTTACAGGTTCGATGGAACAAACATGACAGCTGATTGCATGCACTACCAGAAGCCATCTGCAGCCTAGTCGTTTTTTTGTGAAATGCCTTATTGGTTCATGGTTCAAAATATGCTCACATGTTGCAACATTGGAGGTTTCATGAAGTAATCAGTAATCCTCCTTAACCCATTTTGGAGCAGACTTGGACTTGATCCCCATTTCATAAAGCATCAGTGTGGACAAAATCTCTGTGTCTGTGGGACTCTACCGAGGGTCAAGAAAGATAAGTTGCAGAACCTCTGCAACACCACCCAGGGTTTTGTCCATATGTCCAAACCCTCATGTGACCTCAGGGAAAAATGTGACGACATGGGACCTTCAGTTTCTGCTGCGCAGCGCCCGTATCTGGTGTTGATCCGTCCGGGCGCGTCCAGGTTTGGCTGAGCAAAGGACGACTTGCAACCACACATCATCGACGTTTGGCACATGGCCCAAGGTGCTTTGACGGCCATTGTTGAAATAGAATACTTCTACCAAACGCTGCATGTAATTATTCCATATGTGCCTACTTGTACATTGGGGTGGTTTGGGAGGTCAATGTATGCATATATTCCATACATGGAGTCTATGGGCTATATCTATATATATATATATATGTGTCAGTGTGTGTGTGCATGTCATGTCTATATGTGTGTTTAGAATTTAAAACAAATTGTATAGTTACTTCTGAAACATATATGATCACCAAGCCCACGACCTACCTCGAAGGTCCTGTAGGAGATATTCATAGTGACTTGCATACATCCTTCCAATGAAGTGCTCACCTAATCCACGAAGAGCCAAGCCGTCACTGCCAGTCCGGGCGTCCGGGAGGCCAGCGACGCCGCTGCCCTCCGCCGGCCTCCATCTTCCCCAAGATCTCCACGAAGCGGCTGAGCCACCGGAAATCGTAGCCCTGAGGCCCGGAAGGGGTTGAGATTTCCGATGCAGAACCAACAAGCGTTGGATACCAGCATACACCAGCTGAGCTGTGTTTGTTGGCTTAACCGTGTTTAACCTATACGGTATTTACCTATGCCATAAAACGTTTCTTACGCCACTGCTGACGCGAACACCATGGCAGCCTACCCGCGCAGACTGTCGCAAAAAGTGGCAACAGCACCACACTCGCGTCAGTCGGACCTTGGCAGCCTACAGCTTCCGCATGTTTCTTCAATCTGCTTTCCAACGCGACCGGACGTCGAGCACACGTCGAGCACACGTGGTGCCTTTCCAGATGTGTCCATCCCTGGCAGAAAGAATTGGGCAAACCACTGAGCCCAACCGATCACATCGACTCCACGGCCCGGGGCTTCCGTGCAAGACGAGTTCGTTTTGCGTTGGTGGTTAGTCATAAAACCGGCTTTCTTTTTGGAGGGGGGGAAGGACCACATGGGGTCTTCAAAAGCAAAACATGCTTAAATTATGTGGGACTTGCGCGGAGCTTACCCAGATTTCCGACACCCCAAAAGACCCAAATCCCAGAGGTTCTTTGGTTGTTCTGATATTCTAAGGATGTTCAAGCACATTGTCAGAAACATAGCCTGCACGTTTCGACATGTATGCTGTAAGTTTGGTCTTGCTTGCGCAACTCTCCTCTCCCATTAAAAGCTTTGCGCAACCGCACGTCACGCACACCCCAGGTTTTGTTTATAACGCGAACCGCTCCTATGAAAAGACATGAGAAGCCAATAAACTCTAAACAGGCACATCGAGGTGTATAGAGAAGCTCAGCTGTGGCAAAGCCACCTTCGTTCAATGCAAAGGGCCGACCCTGGGAGAAGTCCAGCAACGATCCTCCAGTCTCCCACACGAACCGAGGAACATCGAGGAACCGATGTCTGTGGCAAACACGGCAAATGATCAACTGGACTTCGTGTGCTAAGGGAGCACCTGGACTAGTCTAACTCATTGGTGCAAATGATTGTCATTAGTGCAAATGATTGTCATAAGGTGTTGCTAGGTGAAACAAGGAAATCATCTCTCCAGCTGATGCCCTCCAACTTTCTTTCTGCACGGTTTGCATGCCCCAAAAGGGACAAGCGAACATGTTTGAAACATGTTGAAACTGCCCTGAAGCTCTGCCCTTCTGCAGCTCGTGGAAGAAAGGGAATTCAAGAGCCTGGTGACCCAGGAGCCCCTAGTAGCTTCTTTCTCCTAGTAAGGCCCCTAGTAGCTTCTTGTTCCTAGTAGCGACGCCAGGAGCCCCGTTGGTAGCGTCGTTGCTCCTAGTAGTAAGGCCAGGAGCCCCTGTTCAGCCAAGAGCTGCTGGTTCGGCAGCATGGTCTCGGTCTCAAGGGCCACCCTTCGCAGCCACACTCGATCCACTCCACAGCTGCAGCTACACGTGGGACAGCAGGATGCATTGAATGCTCTTTCTTTCAGTTCCAAAGGGGTAGTGTTTTGTCTCATCAAGTGGATACTGGGCACTCCCTATCCTCCAACAGGATCCAAGAGGCACTCCCTTTGGAGGGTTCACTGTCGGACCGCCCACCATCACCCGTTTCTTCGGTCTCTTCCTTGACCCGCCCGGGCGCCTGCGAGCCGCTGCCAAACTCACTGACCCAGACCGGGCACCGGTCCTCGCTCAGCAGAAAGCCCCACTGCCTCTGCAGCACCTCCTGGACGGCGCGACGATTGAAGACGCCGAAGGACGGATCCCCAAAAGCGAGCCACACGGCGCCCAGGCTCTGAAGGTGAGCCTCTTAACAGGCGGGCGAAGGCAACAAGATGAGCTGTTTTCGGAAATCAAGGTCAGGAGGCTGGCTGCCAAAAGATGCTTTAAGCTGGTCAATGCGCACCTTGAACCTATGCTGCATCTACTGAATCTACTGGGTCCTTCCATCACCTTGAACTGGATCCACGTGCTAGGCTTTTCGGACCTCAACACCCGGAGCTTCATTACTTGGCTTGCCGCGCCCAGGTTCCTTGAGCTGATCTGGATCCATATCTCCATAGTTCTGCGGGGAGAAGACTCCCATGCACCTCCACTTGGCATCCAAGCAGGGCATGCAGTGCATGAGTCATCCGATGTCATCCGTCTCATGTGGGGTGAAAGATGGAGAGATAGAGACAGAGACCATGCTGCACGATGTCCCAGAGAGTTTGGGAGTGGATCAAGTTTTGTCATTCCGAGCAAAACAACAACACATGTATCACCCCCCGGGCCAAGAGGCAGAACGGGCCTTACGCATCAAATTCATCAAACTTGATACGAAGAACCACTCACAGACCCCCCCCACGGTTTCCCACGGCTGCACTTGCTCTACTCAACCATCGAGTTCTCAGTCTCCTCAACCAACGAAGCAAAGAACATGCAGATTCTATGAATCTTCTCAACCATGAATCCCATGAATCCCATGCCTCAGCAGAAATCCCGTGCCTCAGCAGATTCTTCATGACTCCCATGCAGCCCTTCATCACGTGCCCACAGGTCAAATATCGTCCGGGCCCATTCCAGCCTACAAAGTGGCACACGCTGGAGCAAGCTGCTCCAACGGGGTCCACTTTGGGCGGTGAAGCACACACAGCGGAGACGTGTCCACCCAGGTCTGCGGTTGACAAAGGTGTGCACTGATCCACGTTTCGGACATGAATGAACTTGATATGAGTTTGTAAAATGAAATTGTACTAATGGGTGTGCCCCAAAACCCATATATGCATTCCTGCAATAACGTTGTGTAGAGTTGAGGATCTGAGACATTGGCATACGTGCCTCGGGCTTTTTGTTTGTTGGTAATTCGTGGGGATAAAGCAGGTTACAATAGTTTACAAGCTGAAAGTAACAATGATGAGGCTACCTTGCCTGCTGCGGTAGTGCCTCCCCCCGTTCATGACAAAAGTAACATGGCCTTCAATTCAATCCAAGTAGCTTCCGGACACTCCATGCATGGGCGGCGGCTCATCCGCGCACACGATTTGACTCATCTGCACACACACATTTTGTTAGCACTTGCGCCTCATCTGCGCACACAGGCCCTTTCCCAAAGGGTCGTCAAGATGGAATGGCCACTTCCTCCTCTAAATTATACCCTCCAGTGGCTCACCAAAGGGTGAGTCAACTTGGAATGACCACTTCCTTCTCCAAATTTTTGCCCCTGCCTTGCCCACAAAAGGGTGAGTCAAGTTGAAATGGCAACATCCTTCTCTAATTTTACCCTCGGGTGGCTCACCAAAGGGTGAGTCAACTTGGAAGAGCAACCAACATCCTTCTCTAAATTTTACCCCTGCATGGCTCACAAAAGGGTGAGTCAAGTTGAAATGGCAACATCCTTCTCTAAATTTTACCCCTGCGTGGCCCACAAAAGGGTGAGTCAACTTGGGAAGGCCACTTCCCTCTCTAAACTTTACCCCTGCATGGCCCACAAAAGGGTGAGTCAAGTTGAAATGACAACATCCTTCTCTAAATTTTACCCCTGCATGGCCCACAAAAGGGTGAGTCAACTTGGCATGGCCACTTCCCTCTCTAAACTTTACCCCTGCATGGCCTACAAAAGGGTGTGTCAGGTTAGAATGACCACTTCCTTCTCTAAATTTTACCCTCCCCACAAAAGGGTGAGTCAAGTTGAA